TCCCATTTCCAAAGCAAGAATACAAATGATCCCAACAAAGCCCCGACCATCCTGAAAGCCTGTAGCCAATTAGAGACTATCAATATTTAATCAGCTCTCTGCCATTGTGCAGCCTGCAATGAGCTTCTCCGGCCTTGCCACGCGAGCGCTACCCCCCCCCCCCTACTCCGCCGGCCCCACATCACAGACACACTGTTATGACACATAATGATATTGGCAATGAATAATTTACAGCAGTTTTTCTTCTTTCCTCCATCCCACCCGCCCCCATCCCCAGCACAGGCCTCTCTCCATGCTGCCCTTATTAATTGAAAACGTGGAACCCGAAAAGGAAGTTGTCTATGGCTGGGAAGGGAGGTGGATGGACAAGGAGGAACACAACCCATCCACCCCTTTCCAGGTCTCCCAACTAGCCTCCTGGTTTCCTTTTTCTGCCGAAATATATCTTGGGATTTGGATTGTTCCCATGCACAGCTAAGTCCCTAAAGTAGAGTGAGAATAGACTCAAAGAGATCATTGGTGATGAAGAAGCTTTTCATGGGAGTTGTCCAACATGAAGCACTAAGACAGTGTTTCTCAACCTTCCTAATGCCGTGAGCCCTTAACACAGTTCCTCATGTTGTGGTGACCCCCAATCATAACATTATTTTCATTGCTGGGTTGCTGTAAGTTTTCAGGCAGTATGGCCATGTTCCAGAAGCATTCTCTCCTGATGTTTCACCTGCATCAGAAGAGAATACTTCTGGAACATGGCTATACAGCCCGAAAAACTTAGAATCATAGAATCAAAGAGTTGGAAGAGACCTCATGGGCCATCCAGTCCAACCCCCTGCCAAGAAGCAAGAATATTGCATTCAAATCACCTCTGACAGATGGCCATCCAGCCTCTGTTTAAAAGCTTCCAAAGAAGGAGCCTCCACCACACTCCAGGGCAGAGAGTTCCACTGCTGAACAGCTCTCACAATCAGGAAGTTCTTCCTAATGTTCAGATGGAATCTTCTTTTTTGTAGTTGAAGCCATTGTTCCTTGTCCTAATCTCCAGGGAAGCAGAAAACAAGCTTGCTCTCTCCTCCCTGTGGCTTCCTCTCACATATTTATACATGGCTATCATATCTCCTCTCAGCCGTCTCTTCTTCAGGCTAAACATGCCCAGCTCCTTAAGCCGCTCCTCATAGGGCTTGTTCTCCAGACCCTTGATCATTTTAGTCGCCCTCCTCTGAACAAATTACAGCAACCCAGTGATTCCGGCCATGAAATTCTTTGACAATAAATTTTCATTGCTACTTCATAACTGCAATTTTGCTACTGTTATGAATAGTAATGTAAATATCTGATATGCAGGATGTATTTTCATTCATTGGACCAAATTTGGCACAAATACCCAACACACCCAAATTTGAATACTGGTGAGGTTGTGAGAGATTGATTTTGTCATTTGGGAGTTGTAGTTGCTGGAATAACTGTATCTCTGCAGCTATATCTCCCAGGGCTACTTGCCCTAAAAAACCTTGTTTACATTATGAAAAGCCCATTTCCATGTTGGTGTGGGGAGGTGAGTCAACAAAGATAAGTCTGGCTATTTACTTGCAACTTGATGGGTTGTAGCAGGCATCTACAGGGACTTCTGAGCATTCTTGGATGGTCCATCAAGGTGACATCTTTGCAGTTATCCAGTGCTAGAAAAACATCTAGATCAGTGGTTCTCAACCTTCCTAATGCTGTGACACCTTAATGCAGTTCCTCATATGGTGGTGACTCCCAACCATAAAATTATTTTTGTTGCGACTTCATAACTGTAATTTTGCTACTGTTATTAATCATAATGTAAATATTTGATACGCAGGATGTGTTTTCATTCACTGGACCAAATTTGGCACAAATGCCCAATGCACCCAAATTTGAATACTGGTGGGGTTTGGGGGGATTGGTTTTGTTGTTTGGGAGTTGTAGTTGCTGGGATTTATAGTTAACTTACAATAAAAGAGCATTTTGAACTCCACCAATTGTGGAATTGAACCAAACTTGGCACACAGAACTCCCATGACCAATAGAAAATACTGGAAGGGTTTGGTGGACATTGACCTTGGGAGATGTAGTTCACCTACAGCCAGAGAGCACTGTGGACTCAAACAATGATGGATCTGGACCAAACTTGGCACAGATAATTAATATGCCCAAATGTGAATACTGGTGGAGTTTGGGGAAAATAGACCTTGATATTTGAGCGTTGTAGTTGCTGGGATTTATAGTTCACCTACAATCAAAGAGGATTCTGAACCTCACCAATGATAGAATTGGGCTAAAATTCCCACACTGACCAACAATGGACCTGGACCTCACTTGGCACACAACACCACCATGACCAATTTTTTTTTGTCGTGTCAGGAGCAACTTGAGAAACTGCAAGTCGCTCCTGTTGTGAGAGAATTGGCTGTCTGCAAGGACGTTGCCCAGGGGACTATTGCTTCCTCCTCCCTGTAACTTCCTCTCACATATTTATACATGGCTATCATGTCTCCTCTCAGCCTTCTCTTCTTCATGCTAAACATGCCCAGCTCTCTAAGCCGCTCCTCATAGGGCTTGTTCTCCAGACCCTTGATCATTTGAGTCACCCTCCTCTGGACATATTCCAGCTTGTCAGAATGTAGGTTAACCACATTCTGGATATATGGCAGTGTAGACTCATATAATCCAGTTCAATGTATATAGCAGTCTTTTTTGGTGTGCCAGTAGAAGAAACCTGTTGCTTCTGATCACATAAATCATGGATTCTAGAGATTGCTGATCTGAAGGTATCTAAAACACTTTGGGCGCCAAATTACAGTGAGGCTGATAAGCTTAAAAACAAATAATGTGCTAATGTGTGCTTTGCTTCCTCGGAGACTAGCGAGAACTAATCGTGAGCAAACGGCTTCTCCTATGTAGATAAAGGACCCAGATGGGATTTCAGATGGAGACAGCGGCTCATCAAGAATTTAAACCTACAGCTAACCATGAATACCCAGAATTTGTGTTAAACTGCCCCTGCTGCTACAATTGAGCATTAATTTATGAGCAAGAGTGAGATTGTGCCAGGCAGGCAAAATACAAATTAAACCACCCAATAAAAGTTAATTGTCATAGGCTTGTTGTCTATGAGTTGTAGTTTCTCAGCTGGCTTATTCTGCACGAAATCAATTCACCTCTACATACCCTTCTAATACGCAAGATGTGCAAGATGGTTATGAAGAGAATCGGAAAACTCTTCCTTATTTCCAACAGTTGTGAGATTGCAACCAGATGGAGGCAAAATCATTGAAGCTTGTGGCTGCATTGCATGTTGGAAACATAGTAAGTATGGTGGGCACCATCCCAACTGTAAAGAGCTGCTTCTTTCCCATTGCCACCTGAAGAATTCATGCCTGGCTGGATGGGAAGCCCCAGTCAATGGGTTCAAACTAGAGGTTGAATTCATTCGCAGGCTGGTTTGGACCATCTGAGCAAAGGTTGAGTGGATATATGTGGTCAAATACAAGTATTATTATTATTATTATTATTAT